AGTTAATAAGGTGTATTATGTGTCATTCTTGTGATTATATGATGTGTTACTGACATGAATTGTATTTTATCAGAAGTATGTTTTATGGTTGCATAAACGAGAATGTATGTCTGGTATTCAAGAGTGAGATGGTAAAGCAGCTTCAGGAGGAGAACTTGTCCATGAGACAGCAACTGCTGCTGCTGCAGAGTTCAGCCAGAGCAGGCACCGTGGGTGATGTTGCTACTCTTCAGTCAAAGCTCAAACAGGCTGCACGCTTGATCTCCAGCCTCAGTCAGGACAAACAGCAACTCATTGAAATGGGCAACAGGCTCCGGGCGCAGCTGATAGAAGCAGGACTGGAGGGTTGGTGTCGCTTTTGAAGCGTAATCATTGGTTTCAGTAGTATATTCATCTAGAATGAATGAACAATATTAGATTTCCAAATGTTTTGAACTATATAAGGAATTATCTCTGGCTCAGGAGGGAAATAAAGAACTCTCTTCTGTTATTTTGTGAAAGGGCACATGGGGATAACAACCATAATTCATCACTCGTTGTTATGCTGGTGCCCCATCACAATGGGCTGATCCATGTTTTTACTAAGAGATTAAAGAAACCTTAGTTTGATTCTCAATAGATTCCAATGCTTATTTGTCCCAGAAATTCTCCATGCTTTGTGTGTTTTGTCTTGATTCATATCGGTTATTCTACTCAGTGAGAAGTCATTCACTGGCAAATCATTGCTGAATATAAACACATCCAAATATTTTTACTTGCTACATCCTCAGTTTGATATGATCTATGATTTACAGACAAAATTGACATTTACGTTATGGAAATTGTCTAAAATGGACATCAGGGATGCAAACAATCACCTTTATGTGAAATTGCCCTCTAAAGCTTTTAAATAAGTTGTAAATAAAACAAAATTATTCAAGCATGTTTTACAAGAAAATACTATTTCAGTTTTTCTGCTTAATTTCATGTTTAATTCAATGTGTTTTTAATAGTGAAATATGCTAGCAATTTATGAATAACATTTTTTTTCTTAGGTCCACGACACTCAAAGATCACTCTCAAACCAAATGATCCAGAGCACAGTCTGGTGGAAAAAGAACCCTCTCAGTCCGAGCATGGCGTGCAGCCAAAGAGCCGCTTATCTACCCTGGAACAGTTACAGTACCAGCTAACCACTCAGGTGACGTCTGCGTGAGAGACGTTGTTCAATCAAAGCGTGCTCTCTATATTGATACAGAGAATATATTTCATCATATTAATCAGTTTGGCCTCTGTATATGTACTGATGTGAAGATTTAGACAGCTTTTATGCAATGTTATTCTTTGTCAAGGTCACTGGAGTGTGGCAAAAGTTAGCGATCACTCCTTTGTCAGATGTATGAAAATACATGGTTGATAATAATCACACAAGCATGAAATTTAAATACATTAGTTTTGATTCTCACTCTAGGAGCTACAATATGCACAAAGAGATCAGAATAAGAAAATGGCGATTATAGTCCGTCCCCAATTCTCTGAGAGTGAGAGTTCGGACAAACGTAGAACTGCCAACCCATGGGAGCCTCCAATCAGAGTCCAGGTACTATGACATCTTCACCACCCCATAAATATATTTTATATATTATAACATATTTTACACATACACTACTGTTACATTTTTTTAAAAATACTTTTATTTGGCAAGGATGCATTAATTTGGTGAAAATTGAGATTTATAATGTTACATAAATGTCTGTTTCAAAGTTTCCACCAAAATATTAAACGGCACAACTGTTTTCAACGTTGATAATAGTATGTAAGGTTTTTTGAGCACCAAATCAGCATATTTGAATGATTTCTGGAGAATCATGACACTGAAGGCTGCAGTAATGGCTGCTGAAAATTTACCCTTGCTATAACAGGAATGAATTTTAAAATATATTAAAATAGGAAACTGTTATTTTAAATTGTAATAATATTTCACAATATTACAGTTTCCACTGTATTTTTGATTAAATATATGCAGCCTTGGTGAGCATAAGATACTTTAATAAATCTAGTTGACCCCGAATTTTTGAACAGTAGTCTATGTAATTTTATTGGTTGTAATCAGTGTGAGTCTGTTGTTGTTGTTGTTTCAGTGTTTGAGTTCATTTTCTCTGTTCCTTCCTCAAGTCTGTGGGCAGTAAAGAAAACACTCCTCCGCAGAACCAATCTGAAGCTCCGGTACCACTGCCTGGGTCATCGCACTTTCTGTTGTCACCCATAGGCGCTGATGATTCCCTACAGAATGTGTGGAAGATGTTAGATCAAGGTTTGAGTTCCTCTGTGTTTTCTACAAGTGACAGTGAGGACAAAGGTGAGCAGGTGTTCAATCTTCAGACCATTTATATTTAAACATAAGTATTTTACTTCACCTGCTATGTTCCCAGAATGAGACATTTAACTGCAACAAAATACAAGTTAGTAAGCTAAAAACATAATCAAGCAACTTCTTTTGTAGTTCTCCTCTCATTAGTAAACTGAATTTCATTTATTGACTGTTTCGCCATGCTGAACACGTTCTTCTGTGCGTGTAATTTCATCATTTGATTTGTCCAGGCAAAAGATCAGATTAGATCAGAATATCTTTGAGAACTGGGGGAATCACGACAGAGCAGCATGATTGGACTTGAGGCCAAATGAAAGTTGCCCAATCTATGGTCATAATGCTGATTAGACCATAAATGGATTTTTGTAACCAGTCAGACCTCATCTTACATTATCTTATACTGGCATAGATCTTTAAAAAATCACAAAAATCTAACCTTTCATTGGAGAATAAGAATTTAAAATGGGGGGGGGGGGAATATAATTTTGAAATGTTTTTCTCTAATACACATTGGGCACAATTAACGGTACACTTTTATTCAATACTTTTTCAAACCTCCATTTGCTAAAATAGTATAGGAGTTTTCTCCTATAATGCCTGATGAGGTTAGAGAATACCTGACAAGAGATCAGAGACCATTCCTTCATCCAGAATCACTCCAGATTCCCAGCTCCATGATGGTGCTTCTCCTCTTCAGTTCACCACACTCATTTTCTATAAGGTGCAGGTCAGAGGACTGGAATGGCCATAGCAGAAGCTTGGTTTTGTGCCCAGTGACCCATTTTTGTGTTGTTTTTTTGATTATTGTCCGGTTGGAAGAAACAAACATGGCCCATTATAAGATTTCTAACAGAGTCAGTCACTTTTTGATTTTTTATCTGTTGGTATTTGATAGAATCAAAGATGCCATGTGTCTAAACAAGATGTCCAGGACCTCCAGCAGAAATATAGGCCCACAACATTAAAAATACAGCAGTATATTTCATTGTACACATGGGGTACTTTTTATCCCTGTGTGTACGAAACCCATCTTGAGTGTTTGCTGCTAAAAAGCAAATTTTTTAGTTACATCTGACCATAGAAGCCAGTCCCGTTTGAAGTTCCAGTCGTGTCTGACAACAGAATATGCTGGGGATTGTTTTTGGATGAGAGCATTTTCTTTTCTTGATTGATTTTTTTTCTTTCTTCTTGAAACCCTCCCAAACAACGTGTGGTGATGTAGGTGCTGTTTGATAATCTTTCTTAAGGTTTTCTGACCCTGAAACTCAACCTTTTTCTGCAATTCTCCAGCTGTGATCCTTGAAGAGTCTTTAACCACTCAAACTCTCCTCCTCACCTGCATTAGGACGATATAGACAAACGTCCTCTTCCAAGCAGATTCATAACATTTTCTGTTGATTGGAAATTCTTAATTATTGCCCTGATGGTGGAAATGGGGATTTTCACTGCTCTAGCTCTTTGCTTAAAGTCACATTCTAATTTGTGAAGCTCAATTATCTTTTACTGCACATCAGAAATATATTCCTTGGTTTTTCTCATTGTGATGGATGATTAATTTGGAATTTGTTTTCCCTCCTATTTATATTTCTGTGAAACGGGAAGCCATGGCTGGATAATTTCATGTTCATAATTTCCCTGGTGTGCTCAAAATTGTGAATATGAATGGGAATATATTTCAGATATATTTTACTCTAGGGGTACCAGTAATTGTGTCCAACGTGTATTTGAGAAAAAAACATTTATTTCATAATGATATTTCCCCCCATTTTAAATTCTTATTCTCCAATGAAAGGTTAGATTTTTGTGATTTAAAAAAAAATCAAAAGGATTAAGAATGCAGATTTATTTTCACAGCCTTCTTTGATCATATTTACCAAGGGTACCAACAATTCTGACTATGTATGTATGCATGTATATTTTATATATATATATATATATATTATTATTATTTTTTTTTTTTACTTGCGTTTTCTTAAGGTCAAAATATTCTTAGTTTTTGTTTTTACAATCTTACACCGTTTTTTACTTTAAGCACTACCAAAAATATCAAAGACATTTAGGAAATCTAAGTTTCTGAATTAAGTCATTATATAAAAATGTTTATCTAGTCATTTATTTGAATTATTTTTATTATACATTTATTTTTAATAACTAAATAGATCTGGACAAAGTGATGTCATTTTCCCATTTTTTTTACTGAAGCACTCTTCTTTCAAGTGCTTTTCTCAAGGTCACAATCATGACTGGCTTCAGGGATCAAACCAGCTAATTTTTCATTACCAGTACTGCAGCCACAACATTACATGGGATTTACAACTGTAAAATTAAGGATTTAACCCCTTATCATATTGTGCTCTCAGGTAGAGTGGCTACAGCAAACCGAGGACACTCCGATATTAATCAGCCTCCCGCTGCACCGGTCAGTGTGGAGGGCACAAAAGCATCACTCCAGGAAAAGAAGAAACCAAATCAGACAACATTTGCATCTGCTAAAAAGACACGTCCTGCTGGAAATAAGAGCAAGATTCGGAATTACAACATCAAAGACTGAAAAAAAATCATTTTGGGCCACTCCATTTAAAGAACTGTCTCATTTGAAGTGCCTCATTATTATTTGTTCATTTTGCATCATGCAATTTTTTTTTATATTTGTACCTTTTGTAAATGTTTGAATAAATTATTGCATAATTTGACCAATAGGCAAGTGAGTCTTTTAATAGTAAGAAGCAGCATCTATGATGATAAGGGGGGGGGGGGAATCAAGATCCAGCCATATTGTTTGGTATGATGCTTAAAGAAATCAAAAATCAGTGAAGCAATTTTGTTTTAAAATATTTTGGAGAACGTTTTGTCCAGCAAAATATTGTCAGCGTAGTGTTACCAACATGCAAGAAGCCATATGGAGTGACTTAAAAAAAAATCATAAAACGCAGAAACATTAAGAAATCTATTTCATTAAGGATTCTTTAGGAAACACTACAAACCCTAGATTCGTGAAATTGATTGAAAATGTTTGAAAACCCTTTGTAGGAAATTGTATAGTTAAACAAGCTATAATTAAAGAAATAATTATATCAAATAATTATTCATACTCGATGCCATTTCTAATGACAGTTTATCCATACAGAACAATTATGACAGATAAAATATCGGTGCTGTGTTTCAATATCAATCTAGTGTTGCATGCTAAATTTACCCAATTTCGGATTGTTTGCAAACCGCAGACACTCGACCCTCGACCCTCGACCCGCCTTGAACTTGAACTTGCTGGCTCAGACCCGTAAAAGCTGAAATCTGTGCTGCTGTGCATGTGATCATGCCGGGATGAACTTTAGTAACCCAGTCTTTTTGACGCTTTTCTCTCTTTGCGGCGGTAGGAAATCAGCCCATCACTGGCTGCGTCTACAGCCCAGCCTCCTCTCTCATTGGACTGCACCTCAGAGCCAAACTGTCAGCCCATGTGGCGTGGCCACCGAGGATGTCAGACATTTAAATGAAACAGACACAGGGACTCAGAAGGCCAGAGTAATTTCTAGGACTTGGCTAAAGGGGGGATCACGAAACTCTCCATTCTGTACCGGGAGCCGACAAAGATTAAGAGGAATATAGAAGTCGACTCTATCCCAAAGAATCACAGCGTTAAACTGTACCCACATCCAGGTAAGAGAGCATATATTATTAATCGTGTCAGTTCTGGATCTGTAGTTTTTCCAGATGCAAACTGGCGTAGTAAAGGTAGAGTTTCAGGCATGCAACATCGTGACAGTTTTCTATAACACGCAGTGAAAAACAATAATATTACTAACGAGTCGCCTTGAACTTGAACTTGCTGGTTCAGACCCGTAAAAGCTGAAATCTGTGCTGCTGTGCCGGGATGAACTTTAGTAACCCAGTCTTTTTTGACGCTAGGAAATCAGCCCATCACTGGCTGCGTCTACAGGCCAGCCTCCTCTCTCATTGGACTGCACCTCAGAGCCAAACTGTCAGCCCATGTGGCGTGGCCACCGAGGATGTCAGACATTTAAATGAAACAGACACAGGGACTCAGAAGGCCAGAGTAATTTCTAGGACTTGGCTAAAGGGGGGATCACGAAACTCTCCATTCTGTACCGGGAGCCGACAAAGATTAAGAGGAATATAGAAGTCGACTCTATCCCAAAGAATCACAGCGTTAAACTGTACCCACATCCAGGTAAGAGAGCATATATTATTAATCGTGTCAGTTCTGGATCTGTAGTTTTTCCAGATGCAAACTGGCGTAGTAAAGGTAGAGTTTCAGGCATGCAACATCGTGACAGTTTTCTATAACACGCAGTGAAAAACAATAATATTACTAACGAAATGAATCGTTATTGTGAGTCGGCTCTTTTCAGTGAATCACCGACTCTGAACCGAGAGTCAAAAGCATTTAGAGTGAATCGAGGATTTTAATGATGAGGCAAAATATATTTGAATAGCCGGGCAGCAGAAAAAATACACTGCATATAGCATTTTATTCAAACAAGCAAAACGTTTTTAAAAACTAAGATATGTAAATGAATTGAGTTTGTAATGTTAGTGCATGGGATAAAGACGTTGGGACCGCGTGATGACGTAATTACGTCATGACGTAAAAGAATCACAGAATCGCTGTTTTGGAAAACCTGTTCGAAAGAATCGATTCGCGTAAATGAGACAAACTTTCAATCACTAATTTCAACCGAAGAATGCTGCACGCTTGTGAGTAAACGTAACCAGCACACTCTTGACCAAATGTGAGTAAACGTTTAGCTGGTGGCTGCAAATTCAGCACAGGATGACAGCATCTCGCGCTATTTCGGTGTGATTATACTAGGTTTCATCTTTGCCTAAGAGAAATAGCATTATGCCTTGAATCTTTCTTTCCATAAACAACAAAAAAAAGTGAGAATAGATATTAAACCTAACAAGAATGTAATATGTTGAGACGTGGAAAAGTATCAGGGCGAATTGTAGAGTCCATGCGGAATTTGTCACACAACTCCTTGAGTTTTGGCGTGTAATCAGTCTATATCACTGAGAGCAGTCAAATTGGAGATGCTTAAAGGGCAGATTTGTCAGGCTATCCATAGTCTAGTTTCTATAACAGGACTCTGTTTACATCAACCTTGGCTTGTCAGGATTAAACATGCAGCCTAATCATCTAGTTTTTCCTTCCTTTTTAATGAACCCTTATGTTCATTTGACTGTATTGTTCAGGTTAAAAACCCATTACTTGTTGTCTTTCTTATTTCGTAAAACCCAGTAGGCAGAAATGATCTTCATCTGTCCATCAAAGAATTTTTGCAAATTCATTGTATGTATTTATGGTCTAAGGCAGGGGTAGGCAAGTTCGGTCCTAGAGAGCGGAGTCCTGCAGAGTTCAGCAACAACTCTAATCAAACACACCTTTCCTGAACAAGCTAATCAATATCTGCAGGATTACTAAGGCTATAGGCAGGTGAGTTTTGTTTTCAGGGTTGGAGCTGAACTCTGCAGGACTGCGGCTCTCTAGGACCGAACTTGCCTACCCCTGGTCTAAGGCTAGAGTGTGGCTGATGTTTTAAGGCAGTGGTTCCCAACCCTGGTCCTTGAGGCACCCCAACACTGCACATTTTACATGTCTCCTTAATCAAACACACCTGATTCAGGTCATCATCTCATTAGTAGAGACTCCGAGACCTGAAACTGTAGTGTCAGAGAAAGGAGACATGCAAAACGTGCAGCGTAGTAAAGGTAGAGTTTCAGGCATGCAACATCGTGACAGTTTTCTATAACACGCAGTGAAAAACAATAATATTACTAACGAAATGAATCGTTATTGTGAGTCGGCTCTTTTCAGTGAATCACCGACTCTGAACCGAGAGTCAAAAGCATTTAGAGTGAATCGAGGATTTTAATGATGAGGCAAAATATATTTTAATAGCCGGGCAGCAGAAAAAATACACTGCATATAGCATTTTATTCAAACAAGCAAAACGTTTTTTAAAACTAAGATATGTAAATGAATTGAGTTTGTAATGTTAGTGCATGGGATAAAGACGTTGGGACCGCGTGATGACGTAATTACGTCATGACGTAAAAGAATCACAGAATCGCTGTTTTGGAAAACCTGTTCGAAAGAATCGATTCGCGTAAATGAGACAAACTTTCAATCACTAATTTCAACCGAAGAATGCTGCACGCTTGTGAGTAAACGTAACCAGCACACTCTTGACCAAATGTGAGTAAACGTTTAGCTGGTGGCTGCAAATTCAGCACAGGATGACAGCATCTCGCGCTATTTCGGTGTGATTATACTAGGTTTCATCTTTGCCTAAGAGAAATAGCATTATGCCTTGAATCTTTCTTTCCATAAACAACAAAAAAAAGTGAGAATAGATATTAAACCTAACAAGAATGTAATATGTTGAGACGTGGAAAAGTATCAGGGCGAATTGTAGAGTCCATGCGGAATTTGTCACACAACTCCTTGAGTTTTGGCGTGTAATCAGTCTATATCACTGAGAGCAGTCAAATTGGAGATGCTTAAAGGGCAGATTTGTCAGGCTATCCATAGTCTAGTTTCTATAACAGGACTCTGTTTACATCAACCTTGGCTTGTCAGGATTAAACATGCAGCCTAATCATCTAGTTTTTCCTTCCTTTTTAATGAACCCTTATGTTCATTTGACTGTATTGTTCAGGTTAAAAACCCATTACTTGTTGTCTTTCTTATTTCGTAAAACCCAGTAGGCAGAAATGATCTTCATCTGTCCATCAAAGAATTTTTGCAAATTCATTGTATGTATTTATGGTCTAAGGCAGGGGTAGGCAAGTTCGGTCCTAGAGAGCGGAGTCCTGCAGAGTTCAGCAACAACTCTAATCAAACACACCTTTCCTGAACAAGCTAATCAATATCTGCAGGATTACTAAGGCTATAGGCAGGTGAGTTTTGTTTTCAGGGTTGGAGCTGAACTCTGCAGGACTGCGGCTCTCTAGGACCGAACTTGCCTACCCCTGGTCTAAGGCTAGAGTGTGGCTGATGTTTTAAGGCAGTGGTTCCCAACCCTGGTCCTTGAGGCACCCCAACACTGCACATTTTACATGTCTCCTTAATCAAACACACCTGATTCAGGTCATCATCTCATTAGTAGAGACTCCGAGACCTGAAACTGTAGTGTCAGAGTCCAGGTAAGAGAGCATATATTATTAATCGTGTCAGTTCTGGATCTGTAGTTTTTCCAGATGCAAACTGGCGTAGTAAAGGTAGAGTTTCAGCCATGCAACATCGTGACAGTTTTCTATAACACGCAGTGAAAAACAATAATATTACTAACGAAACGAATCGTTATTGTGAGTCGGCTCTTTTCAGTGAATCACCGACTCTGAACCGAGAGTCAAAAGCATTTAGAGTGAATCGAGGATTTTAATGATGAGGCAAAATATATTTGAATAGCCGGGCAGCAGAAAAAATACACTGCATATAGCATTTTATTCAAACAAGCAAAACGTTTTTAAAAACTAAGATATGTAAATGAATTGAGTTTGTAATGTTAGTGCATGGGATAAAGACGTTGGGACCGCGTGATGACGTAATTACGTCATGACGTAAAAGAATCACAGAATCGCTGTTTTGGAAAACCTGTTCGAAAGAATCGATTCGCGTAAATGAGACAAACTTTCAATCACTAATTTCAACCGAAGAATGCTGCACGCTTGTGAGTAAACGTAACCAGCACACTCTTGACCAAATGTGAGTAAACGTTTAGCTGGTGGCTGCAAATTCAGCACAGGATGACAGCATCTCGCGCTATTTCGGTGTGATTATACTAGGTTTCATCTTTGCCTAAGAGAAATAGCATTATGCCTTGAATCTTTCTTTCCATAAACAACAAAAAAAAGTGAGAATAGATATTAAACCTAACAAGAATGTAATATGTTGAGACGTGGAAAAGTATCAGGGCGAATTGTAGAGTCCATGCGGAATTTGTCACACAACTCCTTGAGTTTTGGCGTGTAATCAGTCTATATCACTGAGAGCAGTCAAATTGGAGATGCTTAAAGGGCAGATTTGTCAGGCTATCCATAGTCTAGTTTCTATAACAGGACTCTGTTTACATCAACCTTGGCTTGTCAGGATTAAACATGCAGCCTAATCATCTAGTTTTTCCTTCCTTTTTAATGAACCCTTATGTTCATTTGACTGTATTGTTCAGGTTAAAAACCCATTACTTGTTGTCTTTCTTATTTCGTAAAACCCAGTAGGCAGAAATGATCTTCATCTGTCCATCAAAGAATTTTTGCAAATTCATTGTATGTATTTATGGTCTAAGGCCTCCTTAATCAAACACACCTGATTCAGGTCATCATCTCATTAGTAGAGACTCCGAGACCTGAAACTGTAGTGTCAGAGAAAGGAGACATGCAAAACGTGCAGTGTTGGGGTGCCTCAAGGACCAGGGTTGGGAACCACTGTTTTAAGGACTTTACGACTAATACTGTCATCAGCTAATGACAGCACTGCACCATGGGAGCTTGTAGCGAGGCGAGCGGTCAGCTACATCACTGCCTCGGATCTGGGTCAGGTAGATTACAGTCGATTCAGAAATCCGTTTATTTTCTCCATCTGCTTCTGCCAAGCATAATGTTGTTGTATTTGTGGTTAAATGTTAAGCAATCAGAATAGTAATTTACTCCTAGTACTACTGAAATCCTAACCAGGATAGTGTAGCCTGGTTTACACTCAAATCTACATAGCTGTGTTGTGGTGCTAGTAGTTCTGTCTACTTTATGTTGTGTTCAGTTCATTGACTGCTTTTTAACTTGTATGTATTGTACTTTTGCATTAAAAAGTACTTTTAGATGACTCACATGCATGCATGTCGTTCACAGACACCTGTGAGCACCTGTGCCGCAAAGACTCCTTCCAGTTGTCACTATGGCAACAAAGAGCGCTAATTCCTCCTCTCGGACTTACCTGTCCACTTTTGCTAATTCTGTTTATGCAATTTGAAAAGTATTGTTTTTCTCTAATTACACTGAACAAAATTATAAACACAACACTTTTGTTTTTGCCCTCATTTTTCATGAGCTGAACTCAAAGATCTAAGACTTTTTCTATGTACTCAAAAGGCCTATTTCTCTCAAATATTGTTCACAAATCTGTCTAAATCTGTGTTAGTGAGCACTTCTCCTTTGCCGAGATAATCCATCCACCTCACAGGTGTGACATATCAAGATGCTGATTAGACAGCATGATTATTGCACAGGTGTGCCTTAGGCTGGCCACAATAAAAGGCCACTCTAAAATGTGCAGTTTTACTGTATTGGGGGGTCCGAAAACCAGTCGGTATCTGGTGTGACCCCCATTTGCGTCACTCAGTGCAACACATTTCAGCTTCCAGGAATTGTGTACAGATCCTTGCAACGTGAGGTGATGGTCGTGGATGAATGGCACAACAATGGGCCTCAGGATCTCGTCACGGTATCTCTGTGCATTCAAAATGCCATCAATAAAATGCACCTGTGTTCGTTATCAATAACATACGCCTGCCCATACCATAACCCCACCGCCACCATGGGCCACTCGATCCACAACGTTGACATCAGCAAACCACTCACCCACATCTGCATGCTCGTCGTCCACTAACACAGATTTAGACAGATTTGTGAACAATATTTGAGAGAAATAGGCCTTTTGTGTACATGGAAAAAGTCTTAGATCTTTGAGTTCAGCTCATGAAAAATGGGGGCAAAAACAAAAGTGTTTTGTTCAGTGTATAGCTAAATATAATCTCTAATTATAACTAACTATAACAACAACTGATTCATATTGAACCTGCTCTCAATGGCTTGTCACCCTGTCAGGTTATTTTAAAGAGCTTTGACATCACTTACTACTGTTTAATCACAAAATATTTAAATATATAGTAGACCTTACAACATACTTACGTGATAGCTCTGTGTGCGAAACGGCCTGAAATTTAAATTAAATTAAGCTCTTGCTGTCCTTTGCACATTAAGACAACAGATTTGTGAGTGAATCATATGTTTTCCCTAATAAAACAAGAACCAGAATTTCTTTAAAATTTCTTCAATGTCAAAAACAAATGATAAAAAGATGTAAAGTATTAAAGGGGTGATTCATTGCGATTTCACTTTTTTTTAACGTTAGTTAGTGTGTAATGTTGCTGTTTGAGCATAAACAATATCTGCAAAGTTACAAAGCTGAAAGTTCAGTGCAAACGGAGATATCGTCTTTTCAAATTCTGGCAGTTTAATGCCTACAAAAACAGCTGGTAGGGACTACAAGAAGTTACTACCCGGGTTCGTGACATCACAAACCCAGATAAACCCTGCCCTCGGGAAAAGGCAGCAAAGGGGGCGAGGCCATGCTGCGCTGCTTTAGAGAAGAGGAAGAGAAAACTAGAGGTGCATGTAAAAATCTATTCATATGATTCGTGATTCTGTCTTCTAACGATTCTAATGGATTCCCAATTTTCAAAATCAATGTTCAAAAGCAGCGGCTCTCAATACTGTTCCTCGCGTCAACCTGCTCTCTCTCTCTCTCTCTCTCTCTCTCTCTCTCTCTCTCTTATTCTCATTCGCATCACCTCCAACAATGAACTGTTACAATTATACACTTATTTTCACATAGCTATGAGAAGCGTTAAACATGGACGCGCATGCGTGCAGTTGCCGTACTGTATTAAAGCTTTAATCAGGATAAAAATTTATATTAAAAGCTAACATAAGCAGTAGCATTTACAAATAACAGCGTATCTAAAAGTATGAGACGACAAAAACAGGCCTACCATTAAAAGCCGTGCTTGCATAGGTTCTGCAAGATCCTCTTCAATAATATCCTTTGCTTCTCAATTGGGCTCAAACTGATATTAACATGCAGTTGTTTACAATACAACCGGAGCACATGCCGCTGAGGCACATGTTTAGCCAATCACAACACACTGGGCTAGCTTACCAATCAGAGCCCATCGCCTATTTCTGAGGAAGGGGCTTCATAAAATAAGGAAATTATCAGCCCGTTTCTCAGAGAAGGGACAGAGAGGTGTGGAATAAAGGTAAATTATGAAACGAAGCATTAACACATGTTAGACTGCACCCCATAAACACAATCAAGCCTAGAAAAAACCCAGTGAACCACCCCTTTAATAAAGGCTTCTCCTCTGATTTTCTTTTTTGTTTTGTAATTAAGTTTTTTGATTTATGATGCATAATTTCTGCAAAATGATCTGTCCTAGTTTTATAGCTACTGGGCACTAATATAATTTACAACTTGGTCATGCTGTGAAAGGTTGTTATGACTAGCTGAATAGCTGTTATATAATGCATGTTTATTATTGTTTTACGTGCTTTTCACATATTTACAAAAAATAAATTTACGTTGCGACTGCTGAACTGAATATCTGCATAATTTTCTTCTGTAAATTATTCTGTACAAATGAAATAGTACTTTTTTTTTTTTCTTTTTTTTTCTGACTTGTTGAGGTTCATTTTTGGTTATTGTGCATTCTTTGTAAAGATGGTAAAAATATAGCAGATGGCATTGCTACATTGCATGCGGTACAGTCAGATGATTTGATTTCTCTCTTGGCATATTTAATGAAGTTTCTGTGGTCCACCAAATGAAAATGAACCCTCCTTTTGAGTTTCGAGGAAAGTGGAACAGAGGGACACTTTGTACTTGTCACCGCTTCTTGATTGCATTGAATGAACCGGAATCCCATCCGTGCTGCCGCTTTGAGTGCTCTGACCCTGAAACGGGGAACAAAAGTGTCCAGCTTTCCAGGCCACCCCCCCCCCACCCCCCCCCCCCCCCCCCCGGCCTCAACCAATGGTGTGAGTTTGACAAACAACAGTAGACCGGAGAGTGTTTGAAAGTCATTATTTTTGCAATTCTGTTTGATAGACAGAAATTTCACACTTCACAGTTTTAAAGTTATGTATTTCTCCAGATCATTTACAATTGAACTCCCCCCCCCCCCCCCCCCCCCCCCCCCCCCCCGCCCCCCCCCCCCCCCCCCCCCACCCCGGGCACACTCTCCCACCTATCCCCAGTTTTGCAGTTTGCACCAACTCGGTGACCCCAACTCACAGACCGCTGATTTAAAATGAATGACACGCTCGCATTCACACAGTTCTTGATAATGCCAATGTAGATCAAGCAGACAGAATCCCTCTGTTTTTAAAAGGTTTTCTGTTCACAGACTGACCGTGCTTTTTTTTTCTTTTTTTCCCCCCTTAGAATCAAAGAAAATCTAACCAGACATGGAGGATATTGTTATAGCTGGAATTTCAGGTCGCCTTCCTGAGTCTAACAATTTGGAAGAATTTTGGCTGAACCTTTTCAATGGAGTGGATATGGTCACAGAAGATGACAGGCGGTGGAAACCAGGTATGCTAATATCTGAATGTCTTCATTTTAAATAACATTTAGACTTAATTAACATGATTTTTTTTATCATCATGCTTTTCTTAAGACCACCTTGGGGTTTGTAGTGTCTTTCAACTGCTGGTCTCCTTACCTACCTGGCTGCTGTTCTGTGCTTTTCCTTGTCCGTCTGGCTTTGGGTCTTATGAAGGGCCGGTCTCTCTTCTCTCTGTTGGCACCAAGCTAATACTCTCATTCATGTGCTAAAGCACAAGCAGGCTTAGGGCGATGAGTAGAGAGCGCTTTTGATTCCTTTTTCCCCCTTTTTTTTAATTCTAGGTCTGTATGGCCTTCCCCAGAGAAATGGAAAACTAAAAGAAATCGATAGATTTGATGCAGCCTTCTTTGGTGTGCATCCCAAACAGGCACACACCATGGACCCACAGCTGAGGCTTATGCTAGAGATATCGTACGAGGCCATCGTCGATGGAGGTTAGTATCAGCTGCCCTCTTAGATAATATTAATAAGGTGTTTTGTGGCAGCTAATGCCCTTGAAAAATGTATAGCCTGAATGAAATTATATGTCACTTTGGATAAAAGCATCTGCTAAATGAATAAATGTAAATGTTATTTTCTGGAGTGTGCTGCTATATGGGTATATGAAATATGGTTGATGACCTGTGACATTACATGCCACACTTTATTTTATTTTAAATATTTATTTTATATTTTTTGGGGTCAGCAAGTTTATTTTTTTTATTCAGCAAAGATGCATTGAGGTGACAAAGACATTTCTAATGTTACAAAATATTTATATCATGCTGTACTTTTGAACTTTCTATTCATCAAAGAATCCTGAAAAATGTGGCAAGGTTTCCGCAAAAATATTAAGCAGCACAATTGTTTTCAACCATTTTAACATTGATAATAAAAATAAACTTTTCTTGAGGACCAAATGAACATGAGCATATTATACCGTTTTCTGAAGGATCATGTGACAAAAAAACTGGAGTAATGGCTGCTGAAAATTATAAATTAGAAAGTTATTTTAAATTGTAAATATTTCACAAGTCACAAATGTTTTTGATCAATAAATGCAGCCTTGGTGAGCATACAAAACTTCTTTCAAAAACATTTAAAAAATGATTATTAGTATATATGGTGCATTTAAATATTTAAGTTTTATAAACATTTCTAAACGGCCAAAGTGATGCCAAATCTCTATGTAGAGCAGTTATAGTGTATTTTTGAACCTAGTTGTAATGTATTGTATGTGTAATGTATTATTTTTCAGTGTTCACTGAATATGTGAATATAAAACATAAATTTTTCCTGTTAGGCATTAACCCAGTGTCCATGCGTGGCAGCAAAACTGGCGTCTACATTGGAGTAAGTGGCTCCGAGGCAGGAGAGGCCTTCAGTAAAGACCCAGAGGAGCTGCTGGGATACAGCATGACAGGATGCCAGCGGGCCATGTTTGCCAACCGCTTGTCTTATTTCTTTGATTTCAATGGTATGCAAACATTACAAGTTTAATTACCTACTCAATGCTCACGCACATTGTAGGACAGAATTGAGTTATCCGAACCTTTGTTTTGAAAGACTATCGTCATTTTTTCTGTATGGTGTGATGTCGTCTGATGTGATTTGAATAAGTGGCTCACTACACAGTCACGTCTGTCACTGGTGTAACTTGACTCACTCTATCACGTTAGACTGAGACAACCAGTTGAGATGGATTACTTAAATCATTTTATGCAAGAATTGTTAATATGGTCAGCCATTAACCGTTGTGTTTGATGTACAACGAACTTTCAGGTCCCAGTACAGCCATTGACACAGCGTGCTCCTCTAGTCTGCTGGCTCTGGAGAACGCCTTCAATGCTATTCGCCATGGCCAATGTGATGCAGCACTTGTGGGCGGAGTCAACTTGCTGCTCAAGCCCAACACCTCAGTGCAGTTCATGAAACTGGGCATGCTCAGTCCTGAAGGAGCATGCAAGTCATTTGATGCCTCAGGTGAGATTACGTATGTCACTGTAACGTTTAAAGCATTCTCAGGAAGCTATTAAAGGAATCTGGTTCTATAAGCATCAATCATTGCATACCAGTTATAAGAATATAGTCTTCTAAGTGTTCATACTGAATAATGCATGACAAAAATAGTATCATGCTTTATGCAACAATAAATGTTTTCAGCAGAAGTATGCTAATTGCAAGGTTAATTTAGCAATTTTCTGGTCACTTATGATATTAGAGATAAAAATGGTTAGTTAGTTAGCGTGTTTTTTTTTGTTTTTTTTTTAATCCAATTTCGTTTAAATATGTCTCTACTCTTGTAGTCCCAACAAAATAGTGAGTCTGGAAAGAGATGTTAAAAATGGCAGCTGATCATTTTTCTGTTCAATTTGTCAAAATGGAAATCAATAGTCAAGTTGAGCCAGTGTTATTTTAGTATTATTGCCTTACTATTATGAGACTAATATTTTGAATTTGTTTTTATTTTTCTATTTTAGTTTTAGTAATTTTGTTGTATTGTTGTCATTTTAGTGTAGTTTTTATTTTAGTTGTAATTATTTCAGTACTTCAAGTTAAACTGAATTGAATTAATGAATGTAACTGAACTGAAATAACTTTTTTTTTTTTTTTTTACATTATTTTATTTATATATATTTTAATGACTTTAATTTTAGTTACCTCTAATTTTCATGTGAGTTTCACATTGCATTTCTTTTATATACCGGTAATACCTGATGATATGTTTTGCTAAATATTGCACATTTTGGCAAAAGTAGCATTCCATAAAATTGTAAAAATGTGTGTACTGCCCAAAGTAAACCTAAAAAGATTTGTGAGTATATTTCTAATTTGCGCTGCTGTTAAAAAATTGAGTCTTTTTGATACCAATTTTTTTGTTTAACCCTCTAGGAAATGGCTATTGTCGCTCAGAGGCTGCTGTTGCAGTACTCTTGACAAAGAAGTCAATGGCCAAGAGAATCTACTCCACAGTTCTCAATGCTGGCAATAACACAGATGGCTACAAAGAGCAAGGTAAACTCATCCTTCCTTCCCACAGACATCAAATCTGCCTCAAATCCTCTAGCATGAGTGAAATCAGCTCAGTTAATACCTTCTTACTTGCTCTGGAAGCCTGGCATTACTATAAAAGCTGGCACTACATGTGTCGTAGATGTCGTAGCCTTTCCCCCAGTGCCTCCTGCCACACTTTACACACCAGTGTTTTCAAACATGACATTTGGCTGAGCGTGAGGGCTCAGGGTATTTGAAATCTCTGACGTACGTCTGACATCAGACCCCTCTAGTTCCTGTTGTGCATCATGTGCTGCTACATTGAGGACAGAAGAATCCATCCTTTCCCCCAGTGCCTCCTGCCACACTTTACACACCAGTGTTTTCAAACATGACATTTGGCTGAGCGTGAGGGCTCAGGGTATTTGAAATCAGACCCCTCTAGTTCCTGTTGTGCATCATGTGCTGCTACATTGAGGACAGAAGAATCCATGCTGTAGCTCACGTGTGCATTCCATTCATATTTTGGAATGTGGTATGTCTCCTCTTTCCTCAGGGGTGACATTCCCATCAGGTGAGATGCAGCAGCGCCTGGTCCGTTCCCTTTACCAGGATGCCAACATAACACCTGAGCAGGTGGAGTACATCGAGGCCCACGGCACTGGTACTAAGGTCAGTCACTATGAAAATACACGCATGCATAGTGCATACCTTAAGAAGAGATTTGCTTTGAAAATAAGAATGGGAACAGTTCGATATGTGCCTGATTCACACTGGCCATGTTTACATGCACACCATTTTCCGATTAAGGTCTATATTCCAATAAATAAGTTTAAAAAAGCAAGTACATAGATAAAAATATTAATTAATTAAAAAAATTTAACTTAACAATAATACAAAAAAAAATAAAAATGAAAAGCAGGTGTTAAATACTATTAGTCCTAAACTTAAAAAAAAAAAATAATTAAAAAATATATATGTATGTATAGCAGGAAATGGTGATTAAAAAAAGTACATACAATTTCATGTTTGTTAATATAAAAAATTAAAGATAACTTGAAATATGTATAATATCCTTGTGTATGTAAATACAGTTATTGAGCAATAGAAATTTTAGCTTGTGGTTGTGTATATTGAAAATAACTCTGCTTTTACAGGTTGGGGATCCTCAGGAAGTGAATGGCATTGTGAGTGTATTCTGTCAGTCACAAAGGGATCCTCTTCTGATTGGCTCAACCAAATCTAACATGGGACACCCAGAGCCTGCATCTGGATTGGCGGCTCTTGCCAAGGTATGTAAACTTTTTGAACAAGTCTTCCTGCTTTAGTTAGCTTTAGCTTAATCAGCTGTTTCTTTAAAAATCTGTATGCTGAATCCCTCGTCTTAAATGTGAAGTAAATCAAGTAACTCGTGTTGCATGTGATCAGGTGGTTTTGTCTCTGGAACATGGCGTCTGGGCTCCCAACATCCATTTCCATGATCCAAACCCTGACATTCCTGCTCTGACGGACGGCCGGGTGCACGTGGTGTCGGAGCCCATACCTGTCCGCGGGGGCATCGTGGGCATCAACTCATTTGGCTTCGGAGGCTCAAATGTCCATGTTATCCTGCGTCCACATGGTTCAAAATCACTGGCTCAGGCTGCACAACCTTCAGTCCCCAGACTTCTGCAGGCCTCCGGTCGCACTGAGGAGGCAGTCACTTCCCTTCTCAACAATGCCCAGCAGCATAAAGATAACCCAAGCTACCTGTCTCTTCTGAATGATGTGTCTGGAGTTCCAACGGCAGGCATGCCGTACAGGGGCTATGCACTGATTGGAGCACAGGGAGAGCTTACAGAAGTTCAACAAGCCCAGCCCACACCCAGACCCCTCTGGTACATTTGCTCAGGTGAGGGGGCATTTATATTTTTTATGGTAAACTTTTAAATTGGTGAAATCTTATTTCCTTCAACATTTTATATTAAAGCAGCTTGATGTACTACAGAATACATACTGTAACTTATAGAAACTTCCTGTACCATTCAAAAAGAGCTTTTATTGGAACCAAGCTGCAAAAGCAATTTTCTGATGTTGTCATGGTGAGATAAAAACAAGAAAGCTGGTACAATTAGATACCATTAATCCTAAACATAAAAAGAACTAACAATAAAAGTAAAATTTTGCGTATTTTACATGCAGAAAGGACATTTCAGCAGCCAAAAATAAACAGTTTAAGGTAATGGGCAATTGTAATAAATAAACTAAATCTCAACTAATTAAATTTTTATAATAATATATATTTTTTAAATAGTGTATGTATACAGTGTTGCTTGAAAGTTTGTGAACCTTTAGAATTTTCTATATTTCTGCATAAGTATGACCCAAAACATCATCAGATTTTCGCACAAGTCCTAAAAGTAAACGGAGAACCCAATCTAACAAATGAGACAAGACTGTTTTATTTGTCATTTATTGAGAAAAATTATCTAGTGTTACATACTATATAATCATGATCAAGGCTGCATTTATTTGATCAAAAATACTGTAAAATAATATTGTGAAATATTATAATTTACAGTAACCAGTTTCTATTGTAATACATTTTAACTGAGAATTTTTTAGTACAATTTTGCGTATTTTACATGCAGAAAGGACATTTCAGCAGCCAAAAATAAACAGTTTAAGGTAATGGGCAATTGTAATAAATAAACTAAATCTCAACTAATAAAATTGTTATAATAATATATATTTTTTAAATAGTGTATGTATACAGTGTTGCTTGAAAGTTTGTGAACCTTTAGAATTTTCTATATTTCTGCATAAGTATGACCCAAAACATCATCAGATTTTCGCACAAGTCCTAAAAGTAAACGGAGAACCCAATCTAACAAATGAGACAAGACTGTTTTATTTGTCATTTATTGAGAAAAATTATCTAGTGTTACATACTATATAATCATGATCAAGGCTGCATTTATTTGATCAAAAATACTGTAAAATAATATTGTGAAATATTATAATTTACAGTAACCAGTTTCTATTGTAATACATTTTAACTGAGAATTTTTTAGTAGTCTTCAGTGTCACATGATCCTTCAGAAATCATTCTAAAATACTTATTATTAACAGTGTTGATACTTAATGTTTGTTTTTAAATATTTTTGTTGAAATAAATAATACAGTAAAATGTGCGATTTATATAACCCTTTTAAGGTTGTGATTCAAAGCGAGTCAGTCACCATAATGGAAAGTCTCTCTACACATGATCACATTGGCTGGATTTGTATTTCTATCTCCTGACAGGTATGGGCACACAGTGGGCTGGAATGGGCCGTAGCCTGATGCAGCTGCCTGAGTTCCGGGAGTCGATCCAGCGTTCGGACGTGGCTCTGAAGGACACTGGGTTGTGTGTGTCTCGCTTGCTCATGGATGCTGATGAGAGCACTTTTGAAGACACTGTCCACGCATTTGTTGGTCTTGCAGCCATCCAGGTCAGTCTCCCCCAGCTCTAGAGATGCCAAGTACAGTGCCAGTGTGACTGGAACAGGATTGACATCAGCAGTATTTCTCAATGAAAAAATGACCCCTGACAACTTTGGAACTGATATAGGCCTGCCAAATGTTGCAATACAGTGGCACAATCAGTCATGATTTCAACAGTCGCTCCGTCTGCAAGACTGTCTCATAAAGAGATCCAAAAATGACAATTCCGTCATTATTTACTCAACCCGCATTTTCAAACCTGTATGGCTTTCTTTCTGCTCAAACAAACAGCTCTTTCCTGTGGAACTGGCACTCTTGCATATTCAAACTTGTCACGTCACAATCAGTTATGAGACAAAAGAATTGATCATTTTATGATATCGTTCATATCAAACCTAGTAGACTTGCTAGTTGTAGTCTCACAATTTTCATGCCTGACTATCTTTCACCTACCTGAATGCATTCCTGTCAAATTTCCAGGTCGCCCAGATTGACATGTTGCAGAAGATGGGTCTTCAGCCTGATGGGATCGTGGGCCACTCTGTAGGAGAGCTAGCGTGTGGTTACGGCGATGGCTCTCTGAGCCACAGCGAGGCCATTCTGGCTGCTTACTGGAGAGGACGCTGTATTAAAGAGGCCAACCTGCCCCCGGGGGGCATGGCTGCAGTGGGTTAGTGTGGCAGCAGATGCCTTCACAGGCTTTGCTTCATTAATCGGGCGCAAAGTGTCCCTCCATGGGGGATTTGCCTAGTTTTTTTTGTTTAGCAATGTATGCTATACATTTTGTTTTTTTTAGCAAGCTTACCAATGGTTCCTTTTACCAACCCTCCCATTATCTCCCCATCAGGCCTAACGTGGGAAGAATGCAAAGCTCAGTGTCCACAGGGTGTCGTTCCTGCTTGTCACAATGCTGAGAATACAGTGACCATCTCAGGCCCTCAGGTATATACCCACTAAGAAATAACACCC